TCCTTCTATCTTTATCCAACAACATCGACAAAGCATTATAAAATGTCACAAATATGATTTTCTTTCTTTTCTTCAATATTGATATATCGATGACCGTTTGTATTTATAGAGATAATTAAGTGAGAATTTATTAATTTTGTTTTCACATTTTTGATTCACTGTGAACATGATTATGATGGGTCATCATAATCATCATCATCATGATTATTAGGCAATCGTAAACATCTGTTACTTATTCTTTTTATTTATTAGCGGATCATTTTCATGACTTTTTGATTTTGATCCAAATAAATAAATAATTTTGAAAATTGTAATGATGATGATGATGATAATGAAAACCGGAATCGGAAAAAACAAATTAAAGAATAATTCCATGGTTGAAATGTTTGTTTTTAAAAAAAAAACATTTCATTCAAGTTTACAAATTGATTGTTTTTTTTCTTTTAGTTTTTTCAAGATTGCACACTCATTATGTTAGCCGCATTGTTGCACAAGCATGATTCTTTTTTTGTTTCATCGTAACAAACCATTATCATTAATTTTTTGTTTTTTTTTCGTCGTTAGCGATGTTGTTGTTGAAATTCTTAAATTCATTCCATTTCTCGACAGCTGTATCATCGTTGTTGTTGTTGCTGTTTCAGTTAGTAAATCAAGGCCATTAGTTTTTTTGTTTCAAATTCATCGTTGGTTGAGCTTTTGGTTTTGCTCCATTTAAAGTGCTCTATTGTTATACAGTACTATTTTTTTTTCGCTATCTGAAACAACAACAATGTTAATCGTCATTGTTGTTAACGGCTAATGTTGATGATATGTTCACAGTAAATATTGTTCGTAGATTTTTTGTTTGTTTCAAAATTTTCGGAAACTATGAAAACATTGAAAACAAACAAACAAACAAAAACAGAACAATAACAACAATATATAATATTCTGGGAATTCAAGTGTTTCACCGGATTGTCTATCGCTTATTTAATTCCTTATTACTATGCAAACGGAAAAAATTGTAATTTTTTTCCAATGAATTATATTAATTATGAATCAAAAGAAAAGAAAAGAAGAAATTAAATTGATTTTTTTTCCTGTTTGTCCAATGAGTGTTTGACGTAAATCATCGTCTGGTGATAAATTTTGTAAAAGCCTTTTTTTTGTATCTTAAATTTTTTTTCTACTACTTAATGGACCATATGGCCCAAACACATTTAATACGGAATTTGAATTGTTTGAATGATTCAATCATTTGTTCATTGATGTTTTCCGTCTATCTCTCTCTCTACCCTTCTTTTTTTCTACATTTTGGTCCGGTGAATGGATGAATGGTCAATATATTAATATATAATACAAGCCAAAGTGATGAAAACATTATGAAATAGGAAAAACGCACACAGACACACACAGATATATATGGATGGATCAAAATTGAGCTTTAAAGATTCCATTTAAAATTACATTACATACAAAAAAAAAATTCTTCATTTTAACAGTAAAAGAAAAAATGAAAACTTGAATGTCTTTTCTTCTTCTTCTTCTTTTTATCATCAAAATGAAAGAAGGAAAAAAATTGGATGAATTTTCCATTTCATTTCAACGATATCAAAAATTCAATATTTTCAATGGATCCATCTTCAGAAAAAAATATATATATGCATCTATCCTATTTTCATCGTTTGTATTTATTTATCCATTCATTTTAAATTCAGTTCAGTTTAAGTAATGCCTTCGAGTTATTAAAATTGAATCATGTACACACATTTTATATATTTTCATGTCCGATCATTTTCCATTTAACCAAGAAAGAATGAATGAAAAAAACGAAGTAAAAATGGATGGACCAAAAACTTCGATAGCACCGTGAAACGAAAATAAAATTCCAAACAATATATATTGACAATGATGATCCATTTACATTTTTTTTCATTGTATTCTTTCGTCGGTCCATCCACAATGTTGACCAGAATTTTTTCATCATTCATATTTTTTTGGTGTCAATCGCGCTCTCGCGCATGATTTATATCTTCGGACATTTCATATTGGACATTTCATTTGATAATCATGATCATTTGTGAATCAACCATTCGTTTTCTATTTTTTTTTTATTTTGATTGACATTTTGACTTATTTTCTCTATCCATTTGTTTGTTTGTTTGTTTGTTTGTCAAATTGTCATTTTTGAAGTCGGCATATTCATTATTTTGTCATATCCTTATTGTCAATATGTGACACATATTGTCATTGACAATCAATAACAAATATGATTTTAGTTTTCTGTTGGATATAAATGTTGGCCAAACAAACTATGGACAATTTGCAAACAAATAAAAAAAAATTCATGAAATTCTTTCGTGAAACAGGAATGAATTTCTTATTGTCGAAAATTCTTCAAAATTCTTATTTCCTATTGTAGGTCAACAGATGACAGATTCCAGACAGTTTCCTTACAATCACTAAATGTATTACATGCCGATGCATTAATTTGCATGTTTTTTTTTGCTAAAAATTTAAAGAATTTTAATTCAAATTTTCATAAAAAAATTTCATAAATTTCATAAATTTCATAATATTTGGGTATTCATTTTTCTTCTTTTGGTTGATATTGATCAATTTCATTGACTTTAATTTCAGTGAATATTGAGTGAGTGTTTTTTTTTAAAAAAAAGTTTACCCAATAATCTAATGATGTCAAAAAAAGTTAATCTCATTTCAATAGATCCACTGACAAAAAAAACAAACTTTGAAACTTGGCCACTCGAGATTCGAAAAAAATTCTCTCACTTTCAATCAATATAATCCTATCATATCATCAGAATAACATCATCATTTTTACCCCGGTTCAACGTTAAAAAAAAGTGGCATTTTGATTCCATTCCTGTACAGAACGATGATTATGATTCGATGAACTTTTTTGAATGTTTTCGAACCTGCTTACAGTGTTTTTTTTTTGGAACTCATAGTGTTGAGGATCAACTTTTTGTTGGTGAATCAAGGAACGAAAAAAAAAACGGAAAAAAATAATCAGCTTGGCATCCGATTCTATCGGTTGATGATGATGAACAAAATTGATACAAATTTTAATTATATGAATTCGGATGTGAGTATAGTGTGTTTTGCTGCTGCTTGAAGAGAAAAAATCAAAATCAAATCAAACAAACGATTCCATTAACGTTTATATTTAGAAAGAATATTTCTTCGAAATGGTCATCTCTGTTTTAACTAAAATAACTGATATTTTTTCCTTCCATTCATAAACTTATCAATAATTTAAACCGGAAATGTGATTTTCAACAACATAAAACCTTTAACCTTGTTTATCATTCCAACTTGATTGAAATCAATTATTTATTTACGAATTTAAAATTAATTTGCTTTTCATTTTTCATTTTATTTTGCTGTTGTTTATTGTTTTGCCCGTTTTCTGGAATTACTATTTTTCTACTTTGTTTTTTTTGGATTCTGGATAAAATTTTATTGTAACTGAATTTAGATGAAAAATTTCTACTTCTTCATTTTCTATTTTCACACATTGAATTATTTATATTCCAAAGAAACAAACAAAAAACATCAAAACTAAAACTGTGATTGAAAAAAATCAGGTTAAAAAACAAAATTCATTTCATCATGATTATTTTGATTAATTTAAAACAATCTTTTTCTTTCCATTTGGGCGCTGGATATGATTTAATATTAATTTCAATTAGATCAAATTCTTTTCATTTGTATTTCAATGAATTTGTTTTGTTTTATTTCCTGCACTGACAACAACGATAACGACGACGACAAATTCGTATTCATTTCACATAAAAATATTATGATTGTTGTTGTTGTTGATACAATTCATAAATTATGACAAATCATAGCTCAACATAGTTCTATTGTTAGTAAGGCCGATTCTGTCATTCTTTTTTTTTTATTCTCGTTGTGGTTGTTGTTGTTGTTGTTGTTGTTATTTGTTATTGGGATTGAATGAGAGAAAAAGAAAGAAAACCACACAAACACACACACACAATAGAATTGAAATGCAAACAGAAACCAGAATTTGTTCTTTGGATTCATTTGACATTTATGATGATGAAAGAGAGAGAGAGAGAGAGAAGTTTTTTTTGTATGTGCTTTGAAATCAACAAACAACAAATGTCATTGTGATTAGATGAAAGGGTTTTTTTTGGCGACATTCGAATAGAATCACCAAACATCATCATCATCATCAGCGTTAAACAAACAAACTTTTAATCTTTGAATTTTGTCGAATTCTTTTTTGTTGGTATTTTCAATGATGATTGAAAAAAATGATTCGTTTAGGCTCGCTTTTCGAATATAATATTTGAGAAATCGTTTTTTTTTCTCTCAATAATATTTACCAATGTTATTTAGTCAACTTTGTTTCAATTTTTTTGGATGATGATCCAGGCTTTGTGTTTTCGTTTTAGGTCGATAAAGTCTTCAAATTCATTCAGATTTTTGAATTTGATTTGAGCTTTTCATGTTACGTTGCATCATCAAAAAAATGACATGAACTTTTTTTCTTTGGTACTTGGGATTTCGATTCATATTTAAAAAATGAAAGAAAGATAAAAAAAACTTTGAATGACAAATAAAAAAAATGAAATTGAAAATTCTTAGGAATGATGAAAAAAAAACAAAAATGTACTATCGCGAAAGTATCGATAAATTCGTTCATCGTAACTTTTTTTTCAAGATTATTTAAATTTCTAATTATGTTTTTCCATTTTTTTTTCTATTTCTTCCTTCTTTCATCATCCCCTTCCGCACAGAGAAGTAATTAATCAAGATGCGGATAAATTCGGTGGAAAAAATCCATATTTTCCATTTCTTCATTAATTAATTTAAGAGCCTTGTAATTCTCATCATCATTCAACAAACATTTTTCAAGTGTCTTCACCGAACTATAAATTATATCCAAAGACACTATACTTGACATTTCAACAACAACAACATCTTATTTTCTTATTGTTGTTTCAAGATATCATCCGAATAATAATAATTATCATAAGTATCATTCAAAATATTATATGATATTCATTCATTCAACAAAAAAACGGCTCAAAAATCAAATCAACAACAAACGTCAAGTGTGGAAAAAAGATGGCCATGGAAAAACATTTAATGGTTAATCAACTTAAAATGACGGTCACTAATAATAATAATAATAATAATACGATAGCTAATGAAAATTGTTATGTAACACAAACACCGTGTACAATACTTGAATCATTGCCTTATTATTATGGATGTATAACACGTGAAGATACTGAATGGATATTATATGATGAAGGTTGTCCAGATGGAATGTATTTACTTAGAGAATCGGGAAATGATTTTGTATTATCACTTTGTCATCATAATAGGTATGTTTTGGATCAATCAATTTAATGTATCATTCATATTTAATGTATAGCAAACATGGCACGTGTTTTAAATCCAAAATTCCAAAACAAATATCAAATTTTTTGCTTTGAATTCTTTTCTTTCCGAATGAATTCATTCAGATGCCTATAGGCATTTTTTTTCTCAATCAACTTATTTTAAGTAAAGTGAATAGAAAATTTTATAAAATTGAATTAAGTCTTTTTTTCGTTATTATTATTATTATCCAAGAAGTGAAAAAAAAGTATTGTAATATTTGTAGTCAACAACCATTTGATAAAACATTCTTTTACATTTTCTAGATAGCCAATTATTGAAAGCCCAAAAAAATCTTCATTGTTAATGTTATGCTTGTTGTTACTTGGTTTTATGTTCATTGTTGATTGGTTCGAGACATTTATAATTTGATAATTCATTGTTATATTGAAAAAAAACTTGCCATAAAGTCGATACTTTAGGCAATATTTTTTTTCTTTCATTCTTATCCTTTTAAAGAATAATTCAGTTTATATGGTAAATTTATTCTTCAATTAATTGAATTACGAATTGAAGTAAAAAAAGAATGCTCTAGGAAACATTTTTACAAAAAAAAAATTCATTCAAAGTTTCTAACAATCTTTAATTTTTATCTATTACTATTTTTTTTAAATAGTGTTCTACATTATAGAATCAACAAATTATCTAACGGTAATGTTGTATTACAAGGTCTACCAAATCAAACATTTCAATCACCAATGGAATTAATCGAAACAGTTGATGGTTTAGCATGTAAACCAACAATACCATTACGTGCACTATTTGGTAAATGTTTACCATCAACACATTGGAAAATGAATCCCGATACAATACGTGAACAATTATTACAACGTGCACCAAATTGGGGTTTAACTGTTGAAGAAATGCGTGAAAACATTGACTGTGATCTACATTTTTCGCCAACATTTTCACCATTAATACGTTCACTAATTATTAAATCAATGCATGAATTACAACCATGGTATCATTTTCGATTATCACGTTTAGAAGCTGAAAAACGTATTGAATCTAGTGGCCATTTGGATGGAAAATTTCTGTAAGCATTTCTTTTATTATTTCAGAATCTAATTTCCAATGTATTTTACTTTCAATGAAATTCTTGTAATATTCTTATTGTATTATATAAAACGTTGTTGTTCAGGTTTTTTATTATAACATTCCAACATTATCTAATTGAATAATTATTTATATAATAAACTTTTATTATGTACTCGATTTTCTCTATAAAAGGAATCTCAGAAAAAAATGATTCATAAACAATGATGATGATGTGCATCATATTTAATTAGAATTTTTATTATTAGAATCCCTTATAATCACATCAGTGTTATTAAACTATCATAGTCATTTGTTTGACAATCAAGAAAAAAAGGTTTAAAACCACTGTTTACACACAGTTTTTGAGTATACAATTGACAATTTGGAATTGTTGAATGGCTGGCTTCAGGCTGGAATTCACCACCACCACCACCACCATCATCATAATCATAAATTGGTAACATCATCATTATCATTATCATGTTACAAATTATCCATTTCATATTTTTCATTTCAATAATTTTTTTTCTTTCTTGCTTTCAAATATTGAATTTATCGATCGAATTTTATTGCTTCAAATTCTTCTTCTATCTTTCTCTTTTTTACTCATAATTATTACATTTTTCTCGACAACAACGAAAAGGCCAATTTTCAACAACAACAAAAATTTTTCTATCTGAATGTGGTTTTTTATTCTTGTTGTACATTCGTTAATGTGCGTGGAGCCAAGAAAAAAAAGCCATTCAAAATGATGATTATTACTTTTCACTAATCATATAGTAGTAATTATATCCACATATGGATAATGATGGTTTATTCTTTTTTCTAGTATTTAGGACAAAAAATAATAATATTACATAATTGGTACTGATTGGAATGAATAACCGAACGGCCAAAAAAACAAAACAACGGTGTTAGTGGTAATATACGGAACATTTTCCAAAAACGAAAATTGTTTTATGATGATAATGATAATGATAATAATAATTATTATATAAAATTAATGTATTAAGGCTATTTAATCATTATTTTATTATTTTCATTGCTTGAAAATATTGGGCAGCCACTTCCATGATAGAAAATTCATCACGTTTCTTTTTTTTCTTTTTCTAATATTCCCCTTTGATGATAGTAATTGGTGGTCACTCAAATATTCTTTTTTTATTCGTTGAGTTTATATTTTCAAAACGAAAAAAAAAACTTTGCTCTTCTTCAAATGGGTTGTAAATTTATTATTATTGCGATTATGATTATCATTATTAACCTACACCTAATGATAACGGATACAAAAATAGAAAATTCAGCTTAGCCTTGATGAATACAAACAGAATTCATATATGTAATTTATTATAGCTCATAAATTATAAGAATAATATACGTGTGTGTGAGTCGTAGTTTCCGATGATCATGATGATGAATCCTCAAAAATTAGTTTTCCAAAATTTTGTTTTTTTTATTATTCTCTTCCTAGATAATTATTATCATAGCATAATTTTTCTGCTTGATGATCAACTCTTTGTTTATATATAGTTGTAACCAAACACAGACTGTATTTGATCCAAAAAATTTTGTGGCTAAATTCCCATAAAAACCAGCCAAGAATTTCAAATTTTACAATGTTTGTTCTACGTCTATTTCGACAGTCATGATTTTTTTTTCTGTTTGTTTGCTGAGTTGATTCGATTATAACTTTCCAATATATCAATGACGTTGTATATAAAGATTTTTTTTTCATTGTTGAAATAATCTTTGCAGGAAAAAAATTCGCTTTTTTTTCTTTCTGAAATGTTTAACGCGATATAATTGATGAGCTGATTCTGTAACTACAATTTTTTTTCGGTTATTTTTACTAACTTACCGATAATGGATGAAAATACAAGGCCAAACAATCTTTCACAACTCCATAGAACAGGCTAAATTAATATTAGATTAGCTTAATTGTTTTATTATTAATTATCATCAACATCACATCATCATCATCATTTTCACTTGTTTATTGAAGATTAAATTCATTCATCTTATTTCTAAGCTAATGAATTCTACGTATTTTTAGATTTTATGATGAAAAGTTATATCAAAAGATTCTTCTAAATCACACTTTTCTTATACAACTTTCTTTTAACAACCAAATATCGATTCAATCACCGAATCATATAACTTAATCAATACACGACCATCATTCATTTGATTCTAATTGAAATAAATAAATATATGAGAAACGAAAAGAAAATTCATTCGTGCGATAATAATTTTGCGTAATAAAATAACAGTAAAAACTTGTGACAGAATTTTTTTTTCGTTTTTTTCAGCACACAAAGAGAAATGAAAATAAATAAATAAAAATTTAGAAAATTAAGCTCTTAAATTACTTGAAAAAGAATGAAAATAATTTCAATGCGAATTTGGTGAAAAAAAAGCTGTGCTAGCAAAAAACAAAAACAAAAAAAAAACGAAAAATGCACTTGATGTTCCTGGAATCGTTTACCACTGAACACAGAGAACCAGCAAAAAAAAAAACGTTGAAAATTTTCAATGTAAACGCCGATTTCTTATACATTTAATAAGAGAAAAAAAAAGTAAAGACAAGCAAAGCAGATGCTGAAAATTGTTAATACCTCTCTCTCTCTCTCTCACTTGTTCGTACAATCTTTGTAATCGGATAGAATGCACACATTCTGTTTTCATTTTTACTTCTCATCATCATCATCATCATCATCGAAAGGTCCATTTCAAGTGATACCCCATTACATTGTCATTTCGTTTTCTTTTTTTTTAGTTGAAAATTTCATTTCAAAACATGTTCAAATTGTTGTTCTTATCGTTTGTTTTTTGTTCCACTGAAAAAAAAATTTCATTTTCTTTTTATAAACAACAACAACAACAGCAAAAGAACTACTAATATTTTCTTTCTGGAAGAAAGAAAATAAAAGAATTATTTCTCTCTCTTTTTTCCCATTCTGAATTTCAATTTGTATCATTTCGTTGTGGAAAAGCAAAAAGAAAAAACATCTCCCACTACTACTGCTACAGTGATGAGAATAACAAATAATCGAGAAAAAAAAGGAAAAGAAAATTCTTTATAAATTTAAAATCTCAAACACAATACTCTTACAGACAATGTTGTGTTTGTTTGCTATTTCTCTCATTCTTTTTCCCACATACAAACATATATGAAATTCAGATTTAAATTTTCATTTTTTTTTCTTTTTTCATTAGACCCATAAATATGTAAATATCGTTTCGTGCATTCTTTCATTTCTAAGAATATATAAGGTCAATAATTGATTGTTTGAATTGGTTTTGTTGAAAGTTGGCTTCACTGCATTGCATTTTTTTTCTGCTTGTAATTTATCTGATGCAATTGAAATGATTTTCTTTCTTTCTTTTTCTCTTTTGGTAAAATTTTCATTTCAAGTAATGTAATCATTATTTTTTGATTTCAATGATATTTTATACATGGCCAAACAGAGATAAAATATGAATTTATGCAAATGTTTGAAAAATTTAAATTTTTCTTAAATAAAACTAAATTGTTTTTTTTTCTCTCGTTTTCTGGTTGGTAAAATGTGTAAATTCATTTTGATAATTGTATCATTCATTAGCGAAAAAAAACGCATTTTACGTTTTTCTTTCAGCATATTTTCAAAATCTCATTTTCGCAATTGTTTTGATTATATGTGATGATGATAATCATCATTAAGTTTCTTCCATACATATTTTTTGTTCGCATTTCTTATTGTGTTTAGTTATATAACATTCCAAATGATTTCATGGCCAATTGTTTTTTCAGTTGATCTTATTCATTTCTCCTCTGTATGAGAATAATGTTTATCACAAATTATAATCTTTCAACATTTTTCATATGAAATTTGATTATTGTATATGATTTCGTTACTGTTCATTGTTTGTTATCATAGTCAACGTAATAAAGGAAAGACAAAACGCTTAGCAGCTCATAAATTGTCCATTAACATTAACACCAACACACACACACACCCACCAACATTCGAATACACACAATGAAATCCACTTATAATGAGTATTATTATTATTATCAGCTATTTCTTTTGTTGTCATTAAACGTATCTATCTATGTATAGTCGTTGTCGGTTTGTCAAGTGTGTATGTTTTAGGATGATGTAATTATCATCATCATCATTGTTCTTATGAAAATATATTCTTGAAAATTCAGCAACAAAAACAACAACAGAAAAAAGTCTTTGTTGTCAGTTTCTTTGTTTTTGTTGTTGTTGTTGGTCTCTAGATCATATATAGTCCTGAAAAAAACAAATTAATGTCTATGTGTTGTATTGGTAAAGGACAATAGCTCAGAACAGTAAAAAAAAGCAAAAATCAACCACAAAACATCTTTGGCTTTTCAAATTGTATCAAATAACCAAAAGATAATACTTAATGATTGCAATTTTTTTTTGGCATCATAAATAAATATAAATATCGACAACAAACACAGTGTATCCAATTACGATTTTTTTTCGTTTTTTTTTTTTGATTTACAATATATTTCATATACGTCATCATAATTAATATCATCAATATTTGTTACCGATTTTCTCTCCCTGTGTGCGTGTGTGTGTGTTAAATAAAGTTGCAATCAATTGATATTAAGTGAAAAAAAAAATTGCCAGCCATTTCATATTTCTTTACTAAGGAAACTCTATCCATTTCATTGTGAATGATGATAATAATAATAATAAAGTGGCCACTTATGAATTCTGAAATTTATTACATTCATTATACTATCTGATGTTTGATTGGTGTGCTTATCCTTAATTTTTATATCAACATTTTTGTTACTGCAAATTTATTACCAATAAAATTTATCAACAACAACAGCAAACAAAATTCTTTTTTTTTCACTTTAAAATCTAAACAACAACAATAAATTTTTATCTATTTTTTTTCTGGAAATAAATGAGGTGATCAAAAATGAATGGTCGATTTTGTTCGATGGTTTTTCTTTCATTGTTGAAGATTAGTTTTTGAAATTCATTGAATGTCTAGCCTTTATTAATATATCGTTTTTTTCTGAAATAAAACTAATAAAAGTTAACCATCAAATTGATCTATAATCTCAATTTATAGTTTTTAAAATATTTATTTATGTTTTTCAAAGTTTTTTTGTTTTGTTATCCCTTTCCATTTCATCATTGATGAATGTATGTTATTCGAATGAATTGGCTTTTTGTATGTCAATGTCTCTATATAAACGAGAATTAACATGAGAAAACAAATATAGAACACAAAAATGAGACTACTTACCACCATGAAATACAATTCCATCGAATCATTTTCTTCACTAGAAGACTTGATTCTTTTTTTTCCATTCTCCAATGATGATGATGATGATGATGAGTTTGTTGTTGTTGTTTTTGTAATTTGTTGTTTGTTATACGAAACAAACTAGATTTTCTACGCTTATTCAATTGTTAATTTGCATGGTAAATCAAATAGCCTTGATTTTTTTGTTTTGTTGGTTTTTTTTCTCTATTCTTCATACTGTGAAGAGAAGTAAAATCCTGAGCAAATTTGAAATGAACTCAACAGAAAAATAAAACCAGAAGATTCTTTTTGTTGCAGAATAACCGAATAAGAGTAGAAAAAAGATGCAAATTTTTTTTCGACTGTGATGATGACAGCTCATATATTTTATTGAACAGAATCTAGAAAAAAACAAAAGAAGCAAACATGAATACAAATTACTAATCATATATAAATAAGTGTGTGTGTGTGTGTGTATACGACATGATGATGGATACATTAGAAATTCTGCCGTCATCATCATCATCAGCATCGTTATCCTTATCGGATGTGATCCGTTATCCAACCATAAGAATGAAAAAATTCTTTGCTTTATGAAATGGAAACAAAAAAGAATTCGAGTATAGGCCATCCCAGGAAAAAAAAACAAAATTTGTCAATCAATTTTGTTTTTTTCCTATTTCCATTTTATGCTGTTTGACTTTCTTCGAAACAGCAATGTTTCTTTCGATTGAAAATGAATTTATTCCTTAAAAACTTTTTCAGTCAGCATAATCATTGATAATCATTCATTTTTTTGTTCCTTGGAAAAAATATATACTTGAATCAAATTATCAAATTTATGAATCATAAATTTCCCAGAAGAATTCACCTATTTTTTTTTTGTTTCCCCAAACGAAAAAAACAACAACAACAAAATATTCATGTCAAAATAATGGAAAAATTTATGGATTTGACAAAATTTCTCTCTTTCTCTATTCTGACAACAAAAAAATTAATGATTATTTTCGACTTTCAATTTTTTTTTCACCTAAATTATTATCGTCGTTCAATAATGACAGTTTTTTTTTCTTTTGGATACATCGTTTCTTATCGATCCAGCAATGGAGATATCATCATCATCATCATTTTATATTACAATGATGATGATGATAATCAAACATTTTTTTCCACGAAACAACACAATAGAGCTATTCCATTTCCACATTGTATATCGATGAATCGCTCAATTTCATGTGATTGAGGTTAAAGTTTCCCGAATATTTTTCTATCATGATTATTTTTCATTTGAAAAATTCATTCAATTGATTTTGTTGAAACATTTAGTAATAACAACATGGAGAAAATTAAATGAATTTTGACTAAAGAGATAAACATTAAGTAGATTTTGATTAACAAGATGGGAAAAAAAAGAGAAACTTTTCAAGAATCCCGAGTCTATGTTTTTTTTAGATTGTTAGCGTTAATTAATTATCTTTATCAATGTTTTTTTATCATTTTTTCTCTCTCTTTTCACTTGCTTTTTTACTTGATTCATGAATTCTAATTTTGCTTTTTTCTTTTCACACATTTCTTCTTTTCTTCAACCGAATTTTATGTGCGTGTGTTTGTGTCAACTTTGGTCAATGAACTCTTCCATCATCAATCTAATATGGCCGCAAATAATCGATTTTCATTTTATTATATGTCGACCATAAAAAAATAAAATCAATGACAACGATGATGATGATGATGATAACACAACTAAACTAAACTAAATTAACTAACTAACTAAATAAATAAACAACTCAAATGATTAATAACCGTATTATTATCGTCGTCATTAATTCTTTGTGTAATCAATGAAAAATTGATTAAACGAAAAATCAAAATCAAAATATCAACCGATTAACATCATCATTTGGTGAATCTTTTGAATGAAATGTATCCAAAAAATTCAACGATGAAACATCGTAATATTTTTCATCATCGATTTTTTTAATTCTTGATTGAATTTTCATCATGTTTATGTTGTTGTGTGTGTGTTCTATATGACCTCTATTCTCGATTGTCCGGTTTCTTTTTGTCTGTGTTTGTGTGAATATGAATTTCATTATATAAAAAAAGTGTACGCGAACGAGATGAATCATCATATGCAATTTGTCTATCACATGATTCAAAAGTTAAACATTATCGTATCGATATATTACCATCAGGAAATTTTGCTATACAAGATGGACCAAAATTTGAAAGTATTATAGCGGTAAGTGATAATTTTCGTTTTTTTCCTTTTTTTCAAGATTCAATTTTTTTTTGATTTAATCGAAAAATTCCAGATTTAAATTTTATGAATTTTATTCCAATTCCACACTGTTTCGTGATTCTTTTTTTCAATTTCATTTGAAATCCAACACACACGCATAGTGAGAATATAGTAAGAATTTTTCCATACAAACACGCAATTTGAAAAAGCTCAAATTCTTATTTCATTTCATATTAATAATTATGATTCTATATTCTATATGTGTTTTTGTTGGTGAAAAACAAGAAGACACACACACCAAACATTATATTAGATCATCATCATTTTCATCAAAATCGATTGATCGATTCAATTGATTTGATTTGATTTGATTCGAATCAAATGTATGTGTTTATACTGAATTTTTAGGTCGCCAAAAAATGATGATTATGATTATTATTATGATGATGATGATGATGAGTTTATAATTCATCTCTAGGGGATTTTATATATTACTATATCTAACTAAATTGTAAACAAACATTTTTCTTCGATGATGATAATAATGATGATTCTTTTCATTTGATTTCTGATCTAGAAGCTAGGTTAGCAATCAAATGTTATCATCATCATCATCATTTTCCAGATACAATTATTAAGGGCCACCACTGTGTTTGGTGTGTGTTTGTTTGTTTGTTTGTCTGGTGTTTGTTGGAAATTGGTGCGATTTTTGGTTGGGTATTGTTTGCGTGCTTCAATATTTTTCTTTTCGTTTTCAAATCAATTCGTGTTTGGTCAATTTATGATTAGTGAAATGATGATCGGATATCATATAGTGAATGAATGTGTGACTTGGGATTTCCGAATATATATATTTTTTGTTTTGGTTTTTTGGTTTTTTCATTGACAATATCAAAAAAAAATAATAATAATTATCATTATTGACGACTATATAAACGCTACGATATATGGGAGTTTCTTTTTGTTTTTTCTTCTTGTTTTTGTTTCAATGTAGAAAATGTCCTTTTATCCTTATGTCTATTTTGTGTTTGCGGTCATTTCTTTTTTTTTCATATATGATACTACAATCATCGACCTGGTGTTTTTTAATTATTATCATTGAACAGCCAAAAGAAATAAAAAGCTAAATTAGTGGTTTTTTCCGGCATGTTTGAAAGAGATTGACGAAACATAGTTAAATAGTCAAGAAATAGATACAAATATTCTTGTCCAGATCACTGATAGTTGTTGTTGTTGTTGTTGTAGACCTAATGAATAAAAATCCAAAAGAAGTAGTAGTCTATTGAATCAAAATGAGAGATGAAGATGATTCTAATTATCTTTTTTTTTCTTTCATTCAATAGCAATGGCTTTTCTCATTTGTATTTTTTTCGGTTGTATTTTCTTTCTCATTATATTTTTATCTGGTTTTTTTTGTCGAGAAAATATATAAAAAAAACTAGGGCAATCATGATGATCTGGTTTGTTTTTCGGGTAATGGTTTTATATTCTCGTTGTTTTTTTGGATTGCCTAATCCACCAACACACAACTATTTGAACCATGAAATTGAAAACAAAACTTTTTTCTTCCCAAAAAAAAAATTCGGGTTTTCGGTTACTCTATAATCGTTTATTTGCCGATATGAGTGTACAAGGGTAAAGGCAAAAAAATTGTCTCTCTCACTTTCTATGTATGAGAATTTGATCCAATATTGTTGGTTGGTAATAAAGCTTTTAATTTTGTTTCCCCTTCCATATAGCAAAAAAAACAAAATGAATATTCATAAGCTTTGAAAAAAAATATTCGATTATGATGATGATCATCATGAGATCTGGAACGTCGTTGTTGATGAAGATCAACTTTTTTTCCATTTTTAAAAACTTAAAATATTTTTCCAATATTTTTAGTTTAACCAAGGAAAAAAAATTCTTTTTTGAATCATAAAACAAACAAAATGTTGAAAAAAATAGGCAAGAATTTTAATCTAAAAAGAGAATGTGTGTGGGTGAAATAAAAATTGAGACAAAATGAAACGCCTTTTGCGTATCATCATTTTTTTTCTTCTTTTTTTTCCAAGATTCTCTCTCTCTCCTGTTTGTCTATTAATCATATAATGAATGATTTGGCTGTCAATTTTAGACAATGAAATAAATTATATGCGAATATAGTTAATATCAAATATGAAGCAAAGAAGGAAAAAAAACGAAGAAATTTTATCAACATTGCGATAGGACCCAAAAAAAAAGAAAACCTATTTTCTTTTCTGCATATAATTTTCTTCTGTTTTTCATCCTCAACTTCCCCCCCCTCAACATCCCAAACAAATACTCGATACGTGTGTGCGTATGGCCGCCACTTTCACATAGAATATTCGTTTCTTTTCACTTGCGAATCCATCACATTATAATAACTGGATTTTTTGTTGTTGTTGATTTTCCAATCTTTATATTGTTATTGTTGTTGTTTTCATCATCAGCATTCTATAGTATGACAAACATGAAAAATTGTTTTAAAAACATTAATAAAATTAAAATACATTATATGACAATGATGGTTTTGTTTTTGGTATTATGCATTGAAAATTTATTTGTTTCCTTTTTTCACTCTCGTTTGTTCACCAAACATGCATCATTCAAATGTTTTTGCATTTTTCATCTAGTAATTCCGAAAAAAAAACCATATGGTTTTTTGAGATTTTGTTGTTGTTGTTAGTTTTGGAAATGTTTTTCCATATGGATTAGCTATTTTTTCGTTATAATTTATCAATCATGATGTTTTCCATGTATTTTTCAATATTGACCGATGAATTTCTCTATACATATTTCTTCATCTACGATGATTTATACAAAACAGGGACTAGAAAAAACTTGTATTTTTTCTGTTCTTGAACTGGATTTTATTCGCTCCATCGACAAGAAAAAAAAACTATTTGTTTTCGTACATTTTCACAAACTGTTGATTGATTTGACTGAATTTTTTGTTGTTGTATACTTAGATATTTATCAAATAAATGTTAGGAAAACAAAAACAATTGAAGCAAACAAAATCGATTTGATCGTCTGATTTGACTACAGGATTCAATGTTTATGGATCAAATATATTTCTTCGATTCTGTTTTTCTTTATTCGCACAATTTATTCACACTTTATTCGTTAATATACTGCTCCCCAATAGGTATGCATGGAATGTGTGTGTGTGTGTGTGCGACCGTGTGTATTTTTTTGTATATTTATGCAACAAAAAATATGAATTTTCTGTACCCAAACTGCTGCAATATGTTGACCTGTTTTTTCTCTCTCTCATTTACAATATATTCAGAATTTGATTTGATCCACACACACATAATTTACAAACAACCAGGTTCAGGTATTATAAGTGGAAATGATTTTTTTTTTCTGGATCAATTTCAGCTTTAGAATTTTGTTGTTTCTGAAGCACATCTGGAACACCAAACACACACATAAACACACACATATGGTGAAAATCATTTTGTTAATTGACTGTACATAATATGTCGATAATAACTTTATCCATCAATCTTTACGTGTTGTAACTAAAGTACCATCATCTTTAATCACCTTTGAACACAACTTGAATGTTTTTCAATGTTCAAATTGATTACATCATTTTTCGGTGTGTTTTGTTTTTGGCGAATAATAATTTTAAATTATTCACAAGCAAATAATTGAAAGAACACCGAGTAAATCTTATTAAATGGAAGGATTGCTTGCGTAATGACCATCATCATCATCATCATCAGAAGGTTATAAGAATTTACTTCTCGCATCAACTCAAGAATCTGGCATCCATTTTTTTTCCTAATTCAAACATTTAAAGATTAAATTATACAAGGCATATGTTTATTATTAACGATGAAGTAGTAGTGTCGGGAATAAATTTTTTTTTTCACATCCAGATGAAAAATATGTTGAAATAATTGGATTTTTTTTCTCTCCATTTCTCAATATATTCTTATTATTCAATGATTCTAGTCGACAATCATCAAATCATTGTGTGTTGTGTTTGAATTGGATGGGGTTGAAAAAAAAATTCAAAAAAAAGGTATTATGAGAAATGAATGAAAAAATTGAATAAGATGAATGGATAAAATGAAAAAACAAAATTTGATTGAGATTCCAGAATAGTAATAGTAATAGTAGAAAAGAAAAAATATAAATCAACGAATCACATTGAATTTTGGCGTCAGATGTTTGATTTTCGTTTCTTTTTTTTTACTGTTCTCATCCATTCTAAACTAAATATTTTCTACCATCTCTTATATGTACAGAATCAACCAATGACTTAATGTCAATTTTTAATTAAGCCAATGTCAAAAGATGTACGATTTTTTTTTCTTTCTTCGATGACTTTTTACATTTTCGTTCTGTTTTCTTTTCATATATGGTGTGTGTGTGTATTTTTTTAATCATTCTTATTGATCTTGTGAACTATCTATAGGAAAAAGAGAGAGAAAAAAGTTAATGTACATTGTTTGACATGGACAAATATTTGGGCAGGCAAAATACTCTAGCAAAGAAAAAAATTGAGAGAATATTCAAACGAATCATTCACAATAATGATGGTTGACTTTTTGTTGGATATTCTGCCTTGAAGAAAAATATAAAAAAGATGAAATTTATTCTCTCTTGGTGTGTGCCTTGATGGTTGTCATGTCAAATTTTTTTTCTTTTTTGCCTTAACCAATTGACAAATCAAAGTTAGAATAATATATTTTATAAGACGAAAAAAAAAATTAAAGAAAGATTCTACATTGTTGTTGTTGTATGCAATTTTATCTTGTTGGTAGAAAAAAAACGACATTATTTACAGTACAGGATTTCCATAGAATATGCTGCAACAATGTCAACCAGCAAAAAAAAAAATAAAAAATAACAACGATGACAGCCAACAACAAACAAACAAAAATAATGACAACAACAACGAAATTACGAAAGTACGATACGATTGAATCAACAACATTGAACAACTAATTAAGTTTGAACCCATTTAGTAGGGTGTG